ATGTAACTTGGGTACACTGGGGCGTACCCCGTTACACGAACAAACAACTCCATGTGAATATTAACCTATCAGAGCAACGTTGCAAACCAAGTTGCACAACCGGCCAGTGCCGAGATTGTGATTAGGCTCTCTAGACGTGCCGTCAAGGAGAGCGCTGTAAAAGTGCTCTTTCAACTCTGGCATTGCATTGCTATCGATTTAGGTGGTGAGCAGTCATTCTGGTGTACGCACTACGTGCTACGAAGCAAAATGTTCGACGGACTCCAGGTCTTGAAATGACAACCTGTTGCTCCTTTTGTGCTGTTTCCAGCCATGTGACATCGTCCGAGCATAAACTCGATTGTCCGCCCTCGCTGCCACAGCTTGTCCTGTCGTGCTTGGCACGCTAATGATAGGTTTGAGAGAGTGTCGACTGGTTGAAAGCGACTTGTGCCGCTCCAGCACCGCCATTTTCCAAGTTGACTCGGAACACACACTCGACACTCGAGTTTACCCAGCGAGCACTTTCTTACCAGAAGACTTAGCCCCACAACTATGCAGGTTCTCCGTCTAACTATCGCCTGTGCTCTGGCCATCAGTGCCACCTACGCGCAGAGTTCAATGTCCACAAGCGCATCCGCGTCCACGAGCGCCGTGAGCTCAAGCTCGGGCTCAAACGTGAATGACAACTTTGACAACACGGACATCCTTCTAACCAGCAACGCCGCGAGTGCTGCCTCCACAGGCGACACCCTGTTCGACAGCAGCACGGCCAGTACAGTCGACGCCGGCAGCGCGTCCAGCGATATTGGAATTGCCAGCTCGTACCCCGGCAGTGCCGATGACGATGCCACCGTTGGCTCGGTGGACTCGGCCAATACTACGACGGTCGGTAGCTCTAGTGCCGACACCGAGGTGACTATTACCAGCAGTTCGGCTTCTACTGGTAGCGTCACCCAGTCGTCGACCACGTCCACGAGCTCCAGCTCGGACAGTGACACGAAGGCGTCGTCATCGGCCTCGGCCTCTTCATCGGCGGCGTCCTCCTCTTCAGGTTCCAGCAGTGCTTCATCGGTTGCTGCCTCGTTCGGCGCTGCTGTGGCCAGCGTCGTTGTGGCTGGCACTTACTTGATGTAAACAACTCGATTGGAAGAGTTTAAGCGGAGATGGTAATAAACTTGTGTTTCACGCTTGCATTCCACCCGATCTGCTTACGGGGTGGTTCTCCCGACACAGGCAAGAGATCGTCACTACTTTAAGCAAATCTCGACAATATCTCTTCAACATAAACTTCTCTTCCGTTTAGCAAGCGATCAAGCAATCAGCACTGCGAATTCCTCCTTGCAATCATTCTCTTGCAAAGCGAATTGCTTAGCTTTGCCTTCGGTGTGCGAATTGAAGCTTCACTTTGATGTTCATGTAACTAATGTACGCTGAGCAATTTTGCGTTGGCGAGCTTTTAAAGTGAAGACCCACCCCGGTAGAAGTCCCTCGGATGACGGCGATGCGATGATGCCTTGTACTACGTATCAGGCTCTGCTGCACGTTAGTAGCGTGCACATGTAGACTACGTGTTCACAGCTCAAACAGCTCACATTCTCCTTGTTGTCGAGCAGTCATTCTTGTAATAACTACTTGTAGTTTAGCACTTCGCTAACCGTTCTGCTCGCAAGTTAGCCACTCAGAGTCACACGTGTCCAGCGGCGTTGGATAGCAGATTTTTCCTAGCAGAGTACGTGTATTATATTGGCTGAAGCATCTTTAGAAGAAAAAAATATCGGAAGTAGTAGTAGTACTGCCCATGGTTCAAATAGTATGGTGTTCAAGCTAAAAGAGTACTACTGTTATGTTGTTGTATTACCGGTTGAGAATCCTATTAGCTACTTGAAGTATGTTCTTAGACAGAACTTACAGAAAAATTAACAACCGGTTGCTAAATGGTATTAGAACTATTTAGCAGTACTGATATTAATTTCGCGCAAGTGTGTTAGTAATTGCTTGATGTTGAAGATGACACTAGTGCAAGCGACACGTCTGGATAGAGGTCAGACAGATATCGCATTCATCAACATTGACAAGCATCGCTAACGCGTACTTCGACGTATCTTAGCGGCGCTCAGCATCCGCGCTCGAAATATCCACAGACCTCATTGATGTGCCAAGTCCAGCGCCAGCAACATGGCCATTGTCGCCGGTACATGTACAACCAAGTCAAGGCTGTTCTTCGGAAGGGATTCGGAAGCCTCATCGGCGCCCACTGTTTGACTGGCCAAGGGTGATGAGATGACATGTTGCACTTGTCCTGGCTGCTGCATACCCGCTTGTTCTCGAACAGTGTGTCGGCTTCCCGCCCGGCAAGGGCGTCGAGACTCGACGTGCGCAAAAGTTCTCATCTGCCAGCATTTCATTCCGCAATTTGCCACCTCAGAGGTAGACTACCAAGCTAGAGAAACCCCCAGCACACACTGCATCATGTCTGCGTCCGGATCCATCGCCACGTGCAGCTCGACCGTCTTAAGTTCACTGCTTACGAACCAGTACATCAGTCAGTGCTCGACCGATTCGGGCTATGTGTTCACGGCCGCCTCGGTCCCGACGCAGGATGTCATCGATCTCATGTGTGCGTCCTCAGCCTGCCGTGGTCTGTTGGCTGATGCACAGGCCATGGACTTGTCCGAGTGCATCCTGCCCGTGGGCGACAATATCCGTCTTCTGGCTGATCTGATCGACTACATACCGCCACGCTGTCCGTCGGCCTCGGGCAGCGCTGCAACCGCCTCCACCACCACGGACAGCACGGTCGCGGCCAGCTCCACGGCCGGTAACGACACGGCTAGCGCCGCCGACACCATCACGGCACCGTCCACGGCCTCGTCCACCACGTCGTCGGGTGAGACGTCCACTACCGCGACCAGCGCGCCGGCAACAGAGTCGTCGGGATCTGCGGCTTCGGCTTCGGCCTCAGCTGCATCCGCGTCGTCGGGATCCAGCGCGGCGTCGCCTGTTGGCCGTGCGCTGAGCGTCATGTCGCTCGGTGCATTGGCCGTCGTCACTTATTTCTTGTAGACGAACGTCTAAGGGATTTTACTACTTTTTTTTCTGAAGTAGCTACACTTTTTTGATGATCAATAGATGTAACTTTGATCTTGAACACTTGCTGGTCATGATCTGGGCTGAAACATTTTGCTCTTCATGATGTGGAATCGGCAACTGCATTTCCGAATATTGTGGCGTGATCTTGCACTGACATTGAGAAAGTTGTGTCTGCTTGGTAATTGCCAAGTGCAATCGAAATCTGAAAACTTCGATGGAAATGTGACAGTCTGGCAAATCAATCGAGCGCGAAGCCATGAGCCCTTGTCAGTTGCTTACGCCCGGTTGACAATGGAGCTAACAGTAGAACCATTTTAGCATTCGCAGTTTTCCAAGACTACAGAAGAACCATGCGTAAGCGCGAGTTGCTTGAAACTGTGCGAGGGCTCTTGCCTCCAGAAACTCATTGGCCCAGCGATCAAGGCGACGTGCAACTTCAGGATGGCACGACTGTGTTGATGCTGGTTGCCAGAATGCCAGACTTTCGACTAGCTCTGAAACTCATCGACTGTGTGTATCATTTCACCGTCAACTTCTGGGCGAGAGATTCTCACGGACGTCATGTGATAATGGACGCTTGTTACTACGGTGTCCATCCCTCAGTGCTGCAGCGTTTGATGAAATGGGCTCAGAAGTGCACCTTAAACGTGATTGTTCCCATGTCTAGACTGGATGTCGACGGCCTAGACGCTATGGAACTCGCCATAAGAGAAGGACACGGAGAACTGGCCTCCTGTCTATTGGGAACGCGAGACGCGGCGTCGTACTACGACTCGTTCTGCAATCATTATCCACTGGAGGTGTTGGAGCTTGCCATCCAGTCCAGGAACAAACACTGCGTGAGAGCCATTCTCACTAACAAGCGGGTTTTACGGGGTTTACAACCCGGAGCGACGACGAGCATCAACGTGACTATGCGGTGGATGCAACGCCAAAACTCCAACAAACGGCTTTTCAACATCTTCACATGTGTTGGCGCCGCTGTTCGCTGCAACATGCCACAGATCGTGCAAGTTTTGCAAACGATCAACCCCGAGGAAACGCGCCAAGCTGTGTGGTACGCTGTCAGCACATTACCACCGGAATCGGCAGCAGAACTGTCCCCAGAGCTCCAGCAAATGGCAAACTCCTATCTGTTCGACAAGATTTGGCCACAAATTGGTGTGATCATTCTGCTTCGAAGTTGGGAACAATTGGCACGCACCGGCAACGAGCATGCACATTCGTTGTGGCAGCGAACGCGCCATTTGTGGCGCCACGAGAATCACGACTGGGAGACGATAGCGTCTCACCCGTGGACGACACTTCCAAACGACCTGTTCGCGCAGATCCTGAGCTTCCTACTCCCTTCCAAGACGTCCGAGATGAGGAAAGTAGCGTCCTTGGTGAGGTTCTAAATGTCAAACTCCGAATATTGTCGGAACTTCTGCTGGATAAGTTGCACTGTGAAAGTTCAAATGTGACAATAGAAGTCCACGGCGAAGCCATGTACCCACTGCATTTCTTCGAAGTTGAAGCAGTTGTGGCCGCTCTCAGATCATTCTCTGATAAACGAATTTTCATGTGGAAAAGCGAGTTGCTTTCTGTCGTTCGCAGTTTGCTGCCTCCAGGCACTGTGTGGCCAAACGAACATGGTGATGCAGTTCTCGAAGGTGGCAAAACCGTGTTGATGCTGGTAGCAAGAGTCTCTGACCCGCATTTGGCCGTGAAGCTCATCGACTTCGTGTGTCCTCACACTGCCAACTTCTGGGCGAGAGATCATCAAAGACGCCACGCGATCATGGACGTTTGCCACCTCGGTGGTCACCCGTCGGTCTTGTTGCGGTTGATCAAGTGGGCTAAGAAAACCAGCGTCAGAGTGATCGTCCCGATGTCCCGACAAGATATCGACGGTCTAGACGCCGTAGAACTCGCAATACGAGGAGGACACGGACAACTGGCGTCGTGCTTACTGGAACAACACGGTCCGAACTCGCACGACGACTTGTTGTGCAAACATTACCCGCTTAAAGTACTGGAGCTCGCTATTGAGACCAGGAATGAACAGTGTGCGATGGCAATTCTGACGAACAAGCGCGTTGTGCACCACCTGCAACCTGGATCGGCAGTGAGACTGAACCTGAATATGCGATGGGAACAGCGTCGAGACTCTGTGAAGAGGCTGTTCAATATCTACACGTGTGTAGGGACCGCTATTCGTTGCGGTCTGTGTAGCATCATACAAGCTATTTACAAGCTGAATCCGTCAGAAACTCGCCAAGCTGTTTGGTACGCGCTGTACATGGCGAGAGGAAGGCAAGCTGAAGTTTCATTTGAGATACGAGAGATGGCAAATAGGTATCGACTGGACAAGTTGTGGCCACAGATCCGCGTTATCCTAATGCTGCGCGACTGGGAACATCGAAGGAAGAAGAGGATTCATGTGTGGGAACGGATGGCACGTTTCTGTCGTGGTCATCAAGACTGGGGTGCGGTCGCTTCGCACCCGTGGGCAGCAGCACTTCCGGACGAGATGTTGTTGCATGTTTTGAGCTTTCTCGTGCCGTCCAAGGTGTCAGAAGCGAACAGGGTCACAATGTTGGTAGAGTACTAATCACATACTTCATACCCAATTTGCTGTTCGATCTAGCAACAGGTCGATGCTCATGTAGTAATGGAACACACACTGGTAGAGGGGAGTCGAACGTTGATCTGAGATCTGCCCGACGAGTCTTCAGCACGTCGTGCTGATGACTCTAACCTGAAGTATTGAGCACGTCCCATCGCTAGGCGCTACGCATGTGGAAAAGCAGAGCAAAGCTCCTTGTGGCTCGACGCTTTCGTCGCCGCACTGTCGAGCTGCAATCGTTGACCCCCGATCCATCGCTGACCCGTTCAATCCTCTATAGTCCAATTCTAGCACTTTAGAGCAGCAAAATCGATCGCCGTTGCTGTGGTAAAGCTCGCTAACAGCAAACGTTTTAGCCATCGCCGTGTTCGTGGATCTAGTAGCCTCACGTTGAAGCGGTGCAAGCTGAAGTTCTGGGTCTGACTTCTTTCTGGCTTTCTAGGGTCTCACGTAGCGACTTCCCCATCTTTGTCTCCTCTCCCGATCCTCTACATCCTGCCCGTTGAACGGACAACCGGTCGTCATTTCTAGACTTGCTATCTGCACCACACTCCATCTACAGAATGAAGCTCCACCTACTCGCTATCGCCGTCGTGTTGGCTCTCGCCTCGTCGAGCATCGAAGCTCAGACGCTCGGAGACAGCGTCGTCTCCGGCAACGACAACGGCGCCGCTATGGTCACGGACAGCGTGGCCGACAGCACCGCCGGCAGCGTGGCGGAGTCGACCACGACAGACGACCACCCGGCCGGCCACACTGGACTCACCACGTCCTCGTCCTCCACGACCGAGTCGTCGGGCATCGGCAGCGACGACAGCTACACGACCGTCGACGCTGGCAGCGACGACAGCGCCAGTGCCGACGATGATACGAGCCAGAGCGACGCCGAGAGCGCCAGCGCCTCCGCCACGGGCAGCAGCGACGCGTCTCGCACCTTCCTGGCGACTGGTGCCAGCGTGCTCGCTGTCGCCGTCGCGGCCATGCTGTAAACACTTCCCTGCTATCTATGCTGCCAAAGTAGTGTCTAAAACTGAGTTGAATGAACCTACCTGTGCAACTGAACTCTTATATGGGTCCGCAAAACTACATTTTATCTTTTTTTCTCTCCTAAATCGCAGTGATATTGACTGTGTACTCACTATTGAGGGTAAAACTCAATCCGATTTAACCGCTAAAGTCGAACGAGCCGCGTCTGCTGGGTGGGAAGAGATCTTCATCGTTCAGCGTCTCCACGAACTCCTCCGTGTGCACCTGCGGCGTCGATGCGGGCGAAGAAACCCTTGAGCTCACCACCGACGCTGTATCGTCCTCCTGACCGCGTAGACCGATCTGTGATCTGCTTTTTCTCTTCTTCTTGGCTTCCAGTTTCCTCTGCGCTTCCTTGTCCACCATCTGAGAAATAACGTCCACCATCTCCGAGTCCAGAGGAGCCGTAGACGCCCGCAACGCGATCTCAATAAGCTTGGCGTGGTTCTTTTCCTCGTACTTAAACTTGCTCTTGAGTTCTTTCCGCTTCCTCGTGGGGAAAAGTGTAGCCATCATGGAGAAATTGGGGCCCACCTGACTCAGACAATAGTAAAACTGCTTGGTTTCCTCCTTGCCCCACCGTTTACCGGGGCCATTGGGATGCGACGAGTTATACCGAGAACCGGAGTGTCGTGGCGGTAAACCGGTATTTTCTCCACCCACGCTGGTTTCGCCCAGTGCGTCAGCTGTACGTTGCAGTTCGTCCCCCAGTTTGATCGTGTTCTCCATGACGACCATTTGTCCGTCAATAATCTGCACTTGCGGCGTGACTAGCGAGCCAGCGAAGGCTGCAGACTCGGATGATACTGACAAGGAACGCACACGGTTAAGTGCGTTTACGTTCAGGAGATTCGAGCCTTCTCCGCTTGCGTCTGTAAGCAGCGGCGTGTCTGAAGCGGCTTCTTCACGTTCGTGGCGCTTCATGCGTCTGCCCTTGGGCACTGTTAGTGCCAACTCGCCCATCGTCATCTGGGACGGCTCTTTTTTCAACAGCTCCTCTAGTTTACTTCGTGGGATGATACCGCCGCCGATACCGGTAACAATCGATGATACCGAAGACGCATTCGAGCTGCTGCGTTTCCTACGCGTCGGAGCTTTCTTCTCACGTACAACCATAGCTTGAGAGGCTTCGTCTTCTTTATCCTCGCCTTCCTTGTCTTTGTCAAGTAGGGATTTCGCCCACATCGTCGCTCTCTCACGTGCTGGTACGTAAACCTAACAATCGAAAATAGAAATTAGAGCGAAATCTAGAATCTAGAAAAAAGAACAGACTTACGTTCATCTCGTCTTCTGGAAGTTCCAGATCGTTCGGATCCACGTCTTCATCGCGATCATCATCCAGTTCACTAGCCGAACTTCCACTATCATCCGTCTCGCGGTACGTCGAGCGCTTCGCTTTTCTCCTTAACGACTTACGCTGAGGTGTTTCAGATTTAGATTTGGTCGGAACAGATGTAGTCGGCCCGGTTTTTCGGCGCTTTACCGGTACTCGTTTCTTCCCTGTAGCTCTGGGTTTAGTGGTAGTAGCACGTCGTGCCTGTTGCGCTTCAAGATGCACCTCCGGGACGTCCTTATTGCCCGCTGATGGCTTCCCACCGAGCATCAACGGAGATGTCGGGCCGTCCTGGTTACGAATCTGTTGCATCATCGAGCGTCGAGGCGATTGGTGCGGCTTAATGTCCAGTTTCCGGAGCATTCTCTGCTTCATAGCATTCTGTGGTCCCATGCCCGGTGAACTACCGGTACGGGGGCGGATACCTGGAGAGCTCCCGATACTACCAGCTCGAGGACGCATTACCGGACTCGGTCGGTATACCGGACCGGCTGACGTAATCTTCGCTAGTCTCTCAGGACGTCGCTGCACTGGGAGTACAATGGGGGAGCGTACAGGAGGAACGGGACGTGCACCTGGACTCTTTAGTATAGAGCTGGGGGTTGATAACGAGCCACCAATCGCGATCCCTCCAGCTCGGCGAGGCCCTGTAGATTCGGAGGTGGTTGCAGCAGACGTTGGCTCGGTTGCAACTGTCAGTTTGGTTACAGTAGAAGCTGTACCTATTGACACCGACTTGGGTCCCGCACTTTTGGCTACTGGAGTCTCTGATTGAGCAGTATTCCGGGTGTTTGGTGTTGATTTTTTCTCCGTTGTAGCGGTGGGCTTCGCTATGGACTTCTGGACCTGCAAACAGTAGTTTAAAACATCTATCAGCTCTTCTTAGGGCCCGTTTTGCCTAGTAGAGACGCTTTACCTCTGCGGGTTCCACTGCCTCAGCTGCATTGCTTTGGGGTTTGTCGCTTCCTGCAGTCGCTGGACGCTTCGTTCGGGGCGCTGTAAATTGAAAAAGAAGGGATAAGAACAAAAACTTTGGTTTGTGACGATTTCGACGCGGATTTCGGCCGGAAACGCACCATTCGACGGCTTAGCGCGCGGCGCGATAGACACTCGAGACGGTTTGCGGCCCTTGCTCTTCACGAGCAGCGGCACGCGTGAAGCCATGTAGATACACGAGCACTTGATGCCACTTGGCGTGCCTCAGGAGAATGTATGGCGTTGTCAAATGCGACAGTTGTGTCACATGATTGGAGGAAATCCTCGAAGAGTTTAGCGAATTAGAACTAAGGATGATACTATTGGCAATAATTTGACAATTTTAACGAATCATATTAGGTTGATTCGTGCCACAGGATTGGCGGTTAATCGCCGCCCAGTCAAAACTGGCCCACAACGAGTTGAAGGCTCAAGGCGAATCGAGGCGTGGCATCTGCAGATACTCACGCGAGGGCTCCTCTATTGACGATGTCAGACCCCGTGGCACGTGCACGCGAGATCGCGGCGCGTCTGGCAGCAGCCGCGATTCCAGGCGGGGACGCGCTGGGCAAGCGCAAGAGCCGTTGGGAGGTGCGTCAGTGTAGCATTGGGTTTTATTGACAAAATGGGCTTTTCACCTGATGTTGCTGTGGACTATTTTTTGGTCTTTTGATCACGAATAGGGTGATGGTACGTCATATTTCATCCCAAAAGGTGCAGTTCTCTGTGATCTAACCGTGTTTTTAATGCAGTGGATGGCGGAGTGCGACCTGCCCCCGGTATGGGCGAGAAGAAGCGCAAGAAAGTGTACATTCCCGTGGACAAGTACCCCGATATCAACTTTATGGGACTATTAATTGGTCCTCGCGGGTCCAATCAGAAGCGCATGGAAGACGAATCCGGAGCGCGCATTCTGATTCGCGGAAAAGGCTCGTCCAAAGACCCAACCGGCGAGCCGGACGAGAACGAAGAACTGCACGTATTAATCACCGCGGACACGGACGAAGCCGTGGCCAAAGCTCAGAGCGCAGTGGAAGACATCCTCTTCAACCCTCAACAAGCCATGAAGCTCAAACAGGAGCAACTGCGCAAAGTGGCGGAGCTCAACGGCACGTTAAATGAGAACTACGACAGCCATGCGATTGGTCAAAATAGCGGTGCGCACTATGGTCCTGGAAATGATGCACAGGCGTCATCATACGACATGAAAGTGCCCCGGGAGCTGGTCGGATACATCATCGGACGTGGCGGAGAGACGATCAGAGACCTCCAGATGAAAAGTGGGGCGCATATCCAGATCGTTCGGGAGGAGGAGGGCGCTCCTCAGACACCTGACCGATACGTAAATATTGCTGGAAATCAGGAAGCTCTAGATTTAGCACAGCGTCTGATCCAGAATCTGATCGATGAAAGACAGCAGAACCAGAGTGCTGGAGGCTTCCGTGAACGTGACGATCGTGACCGGATGGCTCGCTATGGCGGGATAAACCCGGATGGGTCGGACTCAGTGGAGCTTCTTGTGCCCAATGAGCGGGTTGGACTCATTATCGGACGTGGAGGCTGCACGATCAAGGCCATTCAGCAACGTACAGGCACGAGCGTGACCATCCCGCAGACGCCAGACCCAAACCATCCGGACAAGCGGTTGATCACTATCCGTGGTACAATGGAGGCCAAAGAAGCCGCCAAGTTCGAGATCCAGAGTCTGGTCAGTGAGGAACCAGGGCAACGTCATGGCTACGGGATGGCGTCGGGGCAGACGATCTACATGCAAGTACCCAATGACCGAGTGGGGGTTATTATCGGGAAAAGAGGAGAGACGATCAAGGGCATTCAAGACCGTCATGCGGTGCGTATCCAGATCCCTCAAGTAGCCGATGAAGGCTCGAACCCTCCAGTGCGTACGATCTCGATCCAAGGACCGCCCCAGAATCTGGCAGGGGCTAAAGAAGAGGTCGATATGGTCATTTTACAAGGTGCTGGCAGTCAAGGATATGGCAGTGGTGGGCGATATGGAGACAGCTATGGAAGCTCGGGTAATTATGGGCAACAGTATGGCAGCTATGGCGCTCAAGGGCAACAGGATCAGTACGCTTCGTACTATCAAGGTCAACAGGGTCAGTACTATCAGGAGGCATCAGCTACAAGTACAGCAACGACGAGTACTGGAGACCAAGCGACTGCGACTGCGACGGACCCGAATGACCCGAATGCCTACTGGAATGGATACTACGAGTACGCAGCGTATTACGGCGTGGATGCAGCGAATGCGGCCTGGGGTGTCACTGGTGCTGCGGCACAGGCCAGTGCGGAGGCATATCAGCAGTACCAGCAACAAGCTGGTGCTGAAGCGGAGGCTCCTGGCACTGAAGCGACTGCATCTAGTGACACACCTGCGACTGACAAGTCCACGTCGGCTCCTGGAACTTCACAGGTTTGTTGAGTGCATTTTTTTTGTGATTTCTGCGCCTGCCGGTCTCGATTTGTCTATTGGTTGAATCGCTCGTCTCGCTGGTGACTTGAGACGAAAGAGGTCGTGGCGATTGGCTCTTGAGATGATGTGTTTGTTGATGAGTTCCCTGTCTTGTGTATGTGATGATTGTTTTGTTCATTGCGCTGGCTAATAGACGCAAGGACCCCCAGGTACTGCCTAAAAACTTCGGAGATCAAGACTTGAAGACCAACGTGCTTCATAATGGACAGGTAGGCACCGAGGAGACAGCAGGACAGGCGTTATGAATGCAACGTTAGTTGCTCTATTGTGGAGGTATCGTGGGTATATTTGTATTATTTGTGTGAAGTACAGGATACGGAGCGCTTATTAATGACGCCGAGAGAAGCGAGATACTGCTTGACTTTGTGGGCTTCGCTTGAAGTCGCCAAGACGATTCGGATCCAGTGTTGCGCGTTCATTGGGTTATAATCGTCTCCGAACTGCTCCAGGACTCTGGATAAGCGGAAGCGGAAGCTCTTGTCTGTTGTATTGACCGACGCGTGCAGCATATCCCGATAGTACATGATCATGAGCACTTCTTTGGCTTCGTAGGGATGTTGGAACAGGTACGTGCACCGGTCGGATGAGAAGGTGGCAGGACACGGGAATCGACACTCGAGTTTCCCGACACTAAGACTAACGGTGGGAGTCTGGAAAGAGTCATCACGGGAAAGTTGGGCAGGTGCGTTCGAGAGCTTGTACGTGCTAGCGAGCTGTGCTGTGATGGCCTGCGCTCCTTGCGAAATGGTCTTGAGCTGTTCCGAGAGCGATGGCCGTAGACTGGGAGATGGTTGTCGTGTGTTAGTTAGTCGAGCTTTAGGTGGTTCTTGCTTGGGTATTGATGCAGTTAGGAATGCAGTAGGCGTCAGGAGGGGAGTTGCAGTAGGTATTAATACTTGAGTATTGGGGATCTCGGCCTTGAAACTTCGATTTGGGCGATAGAGCACGTATTGAGGAAACGTCTCGCCCTTGAACGAAGACGGCGCGGCGGCGGCTATAGCTGCTTTTGCAGGCATGCTGTGCTGTCGAGTCGTAAGCTTGGTGCTGTTAACAGTGATGCTGCTGCGAAGTCACTATTGAGGATGTTGAGCAGAGAAAGATAAAAAAAACTAAAAATATGCCCCCAGGAGATTAAGCCTACGACTGATAGAAAGGCTGTGTAGTCATCCTATTGTTGTTTGAAAATGACTAATACTGTTGTAGGCAAGTTGCTTACAACCAACGTAAATTCGCCATCATCAGCACTAAACACGATTCGTGCCCTGTTGTCATCACAACGTGTTGTTCATCACTGTCTCGGTGCCTTTGACGCGTTGTCATTCTTCGATTGACTTTTGTCAAGTGCCAAGCTTTACCCGCGATAGAATGCGCGTTTCCAACATTGTTCAAGTAATTGCGACTATTTGTCTTTCTGTCACTGGACCTGCGCTGTTCACGTCAGAGCAGTCTCAGAAAATAGAGTTGGCAAAGTTAGGACAGTCGGTTGATGTACGAACCGAGAGACTCCAGCAGCGTGGCGGTGGCATCACAGACGAAAGAATCTTATCCTGGCCAAACCTAAAGAAACTGTTTGCAGGCAATAGCGAGAGGAACAGGAAAAAGCTAGCCTCGGCGTTTGCGGATTACAAGAGACGTGACTTGATGCCGCTGGACGCCTTCAAGATATCAAGACTACAACTCCGGTATTCACATAAGAAAGCAACGAACTACGGGCTTTTTTTTTTACGAAGAGTACTTGAAAAATGCTCTCATTACAACAGCAAAGTGATCAAGAATTACGACACCTCAAGGAATTGGCACATCATAAATTTAAGCATAGTATGCTTTACTGACCTCACTCAGCGGGCCACGAAGACAACAAGGAGAACTAAACCACCCTGAGGAATAGCCTCATTGGCAAAACAAATAAATTTCAATCGAACTAACAACACAAAGGGTTTCATGGCGACACCGTTACTGTTGTCTTGCAGTTGTTTTTTTATTTAGCTATTTGAGCTTGAACGTGTATCTCACAATATGTATATGATATGTATAAAATATATGAACCACGTTACTTAGACACTAAGCGGACTTGGCATAAGCGAAGGTATCATCGATGAAACATACTACTGTAGTATTTTATATCAATGATGATGTCTTAAAATACCATAATACCAACTACTTAGTACTGTATCTTAAAAAAAAATCATCTCGAGCTATTTTAATATTAAGATTGGCATCAATAAACAGTTTAGTTCATTCCGAAACAATTTCATCCAGCATGCCCATTAAAAATTATTCGGTGATGTTGCGTTATCTACTGTTCACATACAACTTGCTCCAATTTTCACTTGGATCTGTTGGTTGGCTCACAAGCTCGGCACATGGTTATTATTTAATCTAGATGAATAAGTTGCTTGGCCATTTCAACGCACTTTTTGTGTTGATAGGCTACGATAGTGTTTTTTTAGACATGGCGTCGTCGTAAAATATACAGTACAACTTAAACTCCTTTCTATACATGTAAAACAGCCCCTAGAGCAACTTTTGATCAAGTATACCATGTTGACTATGCTTAGGTGAAATTTAGGGAAATCTGAATGAAAATTATAAATCTGGAAAGTTATGGATGTACCTGACGATATGTGAGACTGTTCCTTGCGACCCTTTCGAAGGTGCTTTCACGTGAAAACAGCTCAGAATGAATAGACCACGTGATTTCATGTACGGTCGAACGGGTACCTAATTACCACAAAAAAAAACAATGGGCTTAACCTTATTTGGCCGGGTTTTCTATCATCAGATTGTACCTTATTTATCCCGGTATTTCTCCTGGAGTATTAATAATTTCAAGCTATTACTAACAATAGTTGCATGTTGTATTCTAAGGGATTATTTCATAAAGCAAGTCGAACAGTCACGTACGAGAGGATATCACGATATACGAGCTCATCTTAGACAGATATCTATCCGTATTATATTCAGAATAATTTGTTTATTCCTAATGACAATTATTCAGTATTCAAACATTATTGGATACAATGAGTTTACCCATTGAGCCGCTTTCTTAGTCATCATCGAATTCATATCTGCTTTTCATAGTGGGCATCGAAGGAGTACCCCATGGGACACTATAATATACTCTTTTGGCACTAACACATCGCGATCTACGGAATACAAATTTAAGTCCGGATATAACTAAATACTTGTACCAGCTGAATCAGGCGATATTAATTGAGGGAATCGGACCACTCTCCAGCGTTACCCTCGACTATTACGCCATCCCTTCTTAAAATGGTGTGATGCCAGCTACTCCCCTTAATACCGCAGTTGTCCTTGCGCGGATATCCTGTACTTTAGACTTTCTCTTTACGAAATCCCCGACAATCCTTGCAAAGAGAGTCGACTACACAGTTTTAATAAGGGCACGACGGCTTCGAACTAACTATTTGAACAAGATACAGTAAATTATAGTACCGCATTCCAAATTGAAGCGGAAATGCTCGCAGTTGAGGCACCTGATGTGAAAATCTAAGAAGCCTTCTTTTGCTATAGGGCAAAGTTTTGCGTCAAGTATATCAAAAAAGCTACGTCATACGCGAAGCGAGAGAGAGCCGCAAATGCGCAGAGACGTTGACCAGCTTTACGAACGGCAAATTGCCCGCAAAAACTTCATCATGAGAATTATTACCCAAAGCTTGAGAAACAGATTCTTCCAACTCTACCTCATTTAAGTCCGGTTTAGTAATTGTCGGGGCACTATCTAACTGATTTCCCGTTGCTAGAAGACATTGTGCATGTGAAATACTTCAGATACGTTGTATTTGCATTCGTGCTATTTGAAAAGCGCTACCTAAGCTTAATTGAACAAATGTCATTGGCCATCCCCTGCTTTCCTGCTTTTAAATGCTCTCGTCTCCCAATTTTAGGCAAATGGAGGGAATTTAAAGCATTCTGTCTGCGCATGATTCTGCAACTTCAGTTTTCACTTCAAGGATGTGCATCTGGCTTCATGAGCTTGCATTTACCTGTGTGTACGCGGTACAGTAACTCTACACAGATTTGACCACCCGTATACTCAAATATCCTGCTATATCGGTTAAACAAAATAGAATCAATTCAAACCAATTTTTTTTGTTAGACTTGATCCTCGTCCAAATCGCTCGCGGTGATAAAAATGACGGTAAGGTAGCCAAATCCTATGCAAAAATGTTCAACCCGACCCCAGGAACCAATCCCACTTGATTGCTTTTCTGCTTGGGACAACCTCAAGTCGAGGGTCAATTTCAGTTTACCGGCCACTTTGCAATTTGCAATCAACCGCCAAAGCCACAACTCAAGCCACGTGTGCGTAGCAGTCGAACAAGATGCGACTGATTGAACTACTTTTAATCTTCGTGGTAGCAGTGATTGCAGCTATTGATGTCATTGCTGCCACTAACAATTACCAAGCTCCTACGTCAACGGCTGGACATAAATCTCGCAAACTAATGTCGCTTGAACACAACAGTTTGGCTAAACGCTCCGATTCCCTCAAGTCGACTATAACTGAAGAAGAGCGAGAGAGTTCTAGAGTGGTGTCTGTAAGAGCTGGACATACTGCGAGAAGGACCACTACAATGAGTGACGTGACGACAAAAAACGCAGATGGAACGATAACCAACTCGAAATACTACAACAATGGTCTCGTGCAGAGGTTCCAGAGGTGGTGGAATGGGCTCTTCAAGCCAAACTCGGCTCGCCACCTTCGGCAGACGTGAAAAGAGACGGTGTTAGAGATCTGGCCAGTGTTTCTAGTTAAGTATAATATAATATAGGAATGGATGAACAAAACAATGCTGTAGCAATAGTTTTTGTGTTGCCTTCGCGATTGGTAATATGACATCGGCGACAATACAATGGTGCAACTTCAAAATATACAAGAAGCTCCTATAACCTCAATACCTGTACCTGACTGCTCTATACCATGACTTTTCGATCGCGCTGGTCACGCAAAAGACTCGATTCCATAAGTCACTAATAAGTACTGAGATTTGGGAGGTAATGTGGGAAATCTTCAAAAACGAGAGTGGTATTGTTTGTCTGAGTAGTTTCTAAAGTATCAATGGTAAGTACATTCGAGCTACTGTTAAAGGCAATCGGTAAAGTAGCCATTATCTTCGACATGTCGAGAAACATTAATGTAAAGAGGACATCGAATCAACTAAAATATATGCTAGCCTACCCAGACATCCATAAGATAGTACTATTTGATATACTTGGTAATTCGCTAGTAGTACTATCCATTCATACAATTAGTACTATATGCACTTCCCACCCTCAAATCTTAGTACTTACTTCAGTATTACTAAGGCTGTTTCATGCATTGGTCCCAGTGTGGTCAAATTTGTAAGATAAACTTAATTTGGACCATATTCGGTGACCAAATACAAAACTTACACCAAACATGCGTGTTGAAGCGTTGATGGAGCGAGCTCACAGCTCCAAGCTAGCCAGAGTATATTCTGCTTGGAAGGGCCTTGGTTGACACTGTGGGTGGATTCAGACGTCAATTAACGATTTCTTGTGAGTACGGGCTATATACATAATAAAGTGTTAAATGCAAGTGCACGAACGTACTTTTTGCACTTTCGCGCAATGCACAGAACTGCCCTACTTATTACTGACTTATGGAATTCCTCTAAATACTCTCACCAAGTTTTCTTTAGAGACTCGTCATATTTCCCGAGACGTGTGGAGCAGCTTGCTCTCAGAAGGTTCCAGACTTGGCTACACGGCCGTTGTCCGTTGCCAACGGACAACAACGGACAACAACAAGGCACGGAGCTAACGGAAGGACAGCGGTTAGATGGCGAGCGGTCGCAATGCCAACCGCTGGCCATGCATGTAGGCTAAAGAGCTAATTCACTATCCAATTTGCATTCAACAGCGCAAGAGACCACACGACGCTCTGACTTCTCAGG